CAGTGAAATGAAAGATAAATCAATATTAAGCATCCTATGTAAAAGAGAAGTGATTGATAAACTAAACAAAGCCTCAGTGACCTAGGAGACAATATTAATCAATCTAACATGAGTGGAACTGGATTCCCAGAAATAGAGAGAAAATGTAGCAAAAATAAAATTTAAGAAAATTATAGCCAAAATTTTCCAAATTTTGATTTAAAAAAAAGGTATAAGGTTTACCGATCCAAGAAGTCTAGCAAATCCCAAAATACAAAGAAAAGACTCTACCTAATAAATATTGTGACCTGATTGTACCCTCACCTTAACCCAAAACAAAAAACAGAAAATCAAAAAAACAAAAAAGACTACACCTAGGAAATCACAGGGCAAATTGCCATCACCTGGGGAACTTGTAAAAAGCCCAGTGTCCAGGCTTTACCTCATGCCAGTTGAATCAGAACTTCTGAGTTGGGCCCCAGGCATCAATATTAGCTGCCCCGGTAACACACACCCAAGTTTGAGAGCCAGTGCTTCATGTCACTACCACTAAGAAAAAGGCATGTATGGGTGTCTTTGGATTTTGAGGTCAGTATCCCACACATGTGGGCGTCCAGCTGCCTTCCGTTTATCTGATAAATGTAAAAGCAATGAGCTTCCAGTGGGGCCCAGGACAAGAGAAAGCTCTTTGACTGGTCCAGGTTATAGGCAAGTCACCCTACCATGCCCCTTATGACCAGCTGTATCTTACATAGTTCAGTGGGTCTGAAGTAGACTGGGATGGCGGATAAAGATTGGAATAAAAAAATTACTGGATGGATTTACAATCAGATTGAACTCTGCACAAGAAAATGTCAGTGAAATGAAAAGATAAATCAATATTAAGCATCCCATGTGAAAAAGAGAGAAAAGGAGGGGAAGAATTTGAAAAAAATAGCCATGATGGAAAACTTACAGCAGAGGTTCACTAATTCCAGAGCAAGAGCAGGTACCCTGCTACCCTTTGAGCAGGTAACTATCATTTACCTCTTTTAAATAGCAGTTACTGTTAATATAATCCCCCCCCCTTTCTTTCACTATTGACTGTAGTGTGTTGGGGTGTGCACTAAATTGACCATTTATTTCACAGATTGCAGAAGAGACAGATGAGTTAAAGGGCCAAAGGAGAAATGGTTGGTATCTGGAGAACTAGATTCTAGGCAGGCTGGCCCTGTGACATTCCGTGAGAGGGAGCCGTGCTGGAGTAGTTTATAACGTTTTGGGTTTTAGATACATGGGAAGAAGTGATTGGCAGCCTGCGAGCCATAGTGGAAAGATGTAGACACTTTTAGAAGGTGTCTCACAACTGTATGTTGTCTTCTGAGAACTTCCCCATAGTATAATCACTCTCCAGTAATCCTCCAGCTGGGGCACAGCGGCTGAGAGCAGGAGTTAAGAGGTGCTGTGCCATTTGGGTGTTTTTTCTAGCAATTTAGAGCTCTGAAGGAAGAAACTCTGAGACTGGACATAGCTGGAGCTGGGTCATATTAATGGCAGACTTCTGGGAGGAGTTCCTAATTTTTAGCTGTTGAGGCCCCTGAGCTTCCCTGCTTCCCTGTTCTTGCTCATGGCCTGGCTGTAGTAATATGCTGGTAAATTTTTAACAACTGACTTCTAAAACAAGAAGAAGAAGGAAAAAAAAAAAGGAAGCAAAAGAAAAAGAGCCCTGTTTGCTAACTCTGGTGTAAATACTCCCATGGTCTGTTTCAGGCTAGTACAATGATGTCATTGAACAGGGAGTGGGGAAGAATTGCCCATAAGCTCTGACAAGCCAGCTCTGACATGCCACTGCCTGCTTGTCAACTCTGCTTCAGTGGAACTTTTCAGTAGTCTCCCAACATACTCCTTTTGTGTTTTAGACAGCTGGGGCTGGGTGGGTGGGGAGCGGGTTCTACTCCTTGCAACCAGAAAATCTTTAACTAAAGTATATAATCACCTCTTATTCTAAACAGTTACAGCCCCAATTCATTAAAAGTATGTTCTAATTTTGGCTGATTTTTCACAGCTACACATCTGAAATATTTATAGCCATTTTCTCTTATATGCAAAATTAATATCCATTTCTACTAATGGGCATAGTCTTCACTAGCTCCAGAAAATGATGCTTTAAATCACAGCAATTGCTTAGGATAACAGGGTTATCTTTGGAAATTTCTGCCCTCTGGTGCCCAGTGTAAGGAACTACTTTTGTGTCACTTGTGAATGTTTTTTTGTTTGGATTTTCTTTATTTCGGATTAATATGAGGGTACATACGATTATATGCCATTGTTTGCATTAGTAAAGTCAAGTCAGAGTTGTAGTTGTATCCTTCACCTGGAAAGTGTGCCATACACATTGTCCCCATTAGGGGAGAACTTACAGAGCTCCCTCCCCTCCTTTCTGAATTTAGTTGTGTCTTTTGTCACGTGGGCCTATAGTTGCTTGTCTACTAGTTTCAACTTAGTATTAAGTACATGCGATGCTTGATTTTTCATTCCTGTGATGTCTTACTTAGAAGGATATTCTCCAGATCCTTCCATGTAAATAAGAAAGTTACAAAGCCTCCATCTTTATATGCCTGAATAGCATTCCGTAGTATACATATACCACAGTTTATTAATCCATCCATTAAAATACTCCAATATTATACTTTGATTTTTTTTTTTTTGAGACAGAGTCTCAAGCTGTCGCCCTGGGTAGAGGGCTGTGGTGTCATAGCACCTCCAACTTAAGTGATTCTCCTGCCTCCACCTCCCAAGTAGCTGGGACTACAGGTGCCCACCACAACACCCAGCTATTTTTTGGTTGCAGCTGTCATTGTCCTTTGGCGGGCCTGGGCTGGATTGGAAGCCACCAGCTCAGGTGTATGTGGCTGGTGCCTTAGCCACTTGAGCCACAGGCACCAAGCCACCAATACTATACTTTGAAAAACTTCAAAAAATAGTTCTTCGTGTTGTATGGAATGAAGAACTCTGAATAGCCAACACCATTCTACAAAATAAGTACAAATCTGGAGCTGTGAATGTTAACAGAGGACAAGGTGAGTTAGAGCTCTTGCCACTGTTGAGGGACAACTCCCAGGGTACAGGTGACCAGATGTTATGCTTATTGGTTCTCAGTGTTTCTTTCTCAATGAAGCCCAAGAGGACTTTGCTCCAGGGTTTCTCGACCTCGGTACTGATGACATTTTGAACTAGATAATGCTTAGTTGTGGGTGCTGTGCTGTGCATTGCAGGATGTTTCACAGCATCCCTGGGCTCTACTAATGAGATGCTAATACCCTTCCACCGGTTGTGACAACCAAAAATGCCTCCAGACATTCCATTGTCAAATGTCCCCGAGGAGTGAGGAGGAGAGTGATACCCAGGCTGAGAACCACTGCTCTGCGCTGATGAAGCAAATGTATTCCATGCGTCACTGACCTTGAAACAGTCCTGAACTTAGTAGGTTATGGCATGCTGAGTTGGAACCTAAGCCTGAAGCCCAGGATGCAACTCCTGAGTTCTCATTCTGTGTACGACAGGAGGAAAAGTTCCAGGTGCCAGATACAAAACATACGCTTTTTAATAGACAACACAGTTCACAATCCAAAATTTATTGTTTTAAAGAAAAGCAATTCTTTTTTTTTTTGAGACTGAGTCTCACTATGTCACCTTTGGTAGAGTGCCTAGTGTCACAGCTCACAGCAACCTCAAAGTCTTGGGCTTAAGCGATTCTCTTGCCTCAGCCTTCCAAGTAGGGATTATAGGCGCCTGTTGCAATGCTCAGCTATTTTTTTGGTTGCCGTTGTCATTTTTGTTTAGCAGGCCCAGGCTGGGCTCCAACCTGCCAGCTTTGGTGTATGTGGCTGGCGCCCTAGCCTCTGAGCTACAGGCACCTATCCAAGACAAGCAATTCTTCTGAGTGGATGTTAATGCATGGGTCAATTCATTCCTTTAGTAAATATTTGTTAAGTAGTACCTCTGAGATAGGTGATGGAGCAGGTGCTGGACTCAGTGCAGTCAGATTAGGAACTAACAATCCTAGAGGGGTTCAATAGGGGATATTTTCAGTTATGAGTGAGAAAAAGCCCAAGAGAGGAAGGCGGAGGCCTGGTTGTCCCTTCCACCTACACTGTCTGCCGGCAATAGCTCGGTGCACGCCCACAGTGCTTACAGCAGCCCTCCACAAAGTAAAGGATGATAACCTAGTCTTTTGTTTTTTGCATGGTGCATTTTAACTTATTTAATGCATTTGAGGGCAGGTTTGATGCATAAAAAGTGGGAGATGGTACAGGCCTGGAAAGATACCTAGTTGCTGCCCTCTCCGCAATACGAAATCACGTGTGGCCCTCAGTACGTACTGTGTTAACACCTCCGTTCTTGTGCTCTTCTTTGATTTGAACCTCAGCTCAGCCACTTACTAAGTAGGTGGTTTAACCTTTCTGAACCTCACTTTCCTCATTTATAAAATGAGAGTAATAATCTACCATGAGGGAATCGTGTCCTGTTATAATTCAAGGCATCTTCGTAGATCAGCCCGGTCTCCTTTAAAGTTTATATTATGAATATTCCTACTAGAAATCCAGGCTTTCCCCTTGGCCAGATATATTCCCCAGAGTTCAGGATTAACAACTCCCAGATTTGGTTATAGCATTGTTTTCCTCCTCTGCCCTGGTGCCCCACCCTGAGCATCGGGGATAAGCCAGTTCTCCTAATGATTCTTCCACTGGCAGTTAATTATCAGTGCCTTGTGTTGGAAAGCTCCACGGAAGCATTTGTTACTTAAAAGTGGGAGATTCTCAAGCCCGTTCTCTTTGTGATCGTGGACATACTTTCAGAAGAACATGAGAACTTTTCTGAGTCTAAACTTAAAATTCTATCATTGATCATTGTGAACATCTTTAGGAGAAAATGCACACTCCACGGCCAAACCCAAACATACTGAGAAAATAATTTATTTAATTGTAAATCACGAATTTTATTTTTATAAAACATTTAAGAAAACCCAGAAGAGACCTTAAATGCATCCACTGGGAATGGAAATTCAAGTGAATCTGAAAAAAATCAAGAAATGCCCTCAAAAGCAAACACCAGCTCTTTTCTTTAAACTTGTCTCATTTCTTTGGTTCAGGAGGTAAACCTTTAAATTCTCCACTGCTGATGGGGTCCAAAACCACGTGAGTCATAGAGAAATTCTTAACTGATGTGTGGCTACTCTTTCAAAGCCCAATCATTCCATTTTTCTTTTTTTTGTTGTTGTTGAATGTGAGATATTTTGGCAAGAACTGAAGAGTAGGAGGCACAGTGAAATGATAGAGAAAAATACAAGTTTCTTTTTATCAAAGGAGCCCATTACACTGTACATCAAGCCAGCACCATGGCTTTTCAGATAAAATGCTTGATGAAAAAAATGACCCAAATTGGAACACAAGCAAAATTTAAAAATTTGTGACCATGTAAATGTTGCCTCTTAACTTCCTTTATATTAACTTGCTTTCAATAATATGTAGGATTTCACAGCTTCTCTTGAATGGTAAGCTGTTACAATTGGACACCCCATTGCTACCCCTCATTATAAAATCAATGAACCTTTTTGTCAGGTCCATCTGCCTGTTACATGTCCACAGTGTAAATGGAACAGGTTCCTCGACAGAGGGCTTTTTCTCTAGTCTACTCCCTGACATCAGCCCTCCAAGGTGGGGTATGATGGCCTGAGAAGCCCTGAGGTTTAGACTAGCTGAATGGTGGAACTATCTGATGATCAACTATCCTCTGCTGAAGCCCACGTCCTGCAAACAGATCCCGGGCAAGCCTTTCCAATCCACTTCAGGCCTTTGCCTTTTCTGACACCATCTACATCTCCTCACCGAGGACCTGAAGACACAAATCGCAGAGTCTGATAGACGGAATACAACTTGGACAAAACACGAAGCGACTTCCATGCAAGTCCCTGCTCTCCACTGCCTCCCATTCAGTACCTGCATCCATGATGTGCCCTGTGTCCCACCTGGGTGGCACTGCCCCTTAGTGATCAGCTCTTTTCTTCCACTCTCTATGCTTTATCATGGCAAACTTACATTGAAGCTTTGTTTTCACTCCACACTGAGCACCTACTGGCTTCTTTGGGTTCCCTGGAGCTCTAGTTAGGAACCCCCACTATTATCTACTGGGAATTTCCCCCAATCTTTCACACGGAGGAAGCCAAACAACATCCTGAATGAGCAAAAGACAGGAACTAGAAATGGCCTGAAGCATCTATTGTTGGAGCCTTTTGAGGCTTGAGAGTTTTCCTGCTGTAAAGCAACTCCAAGTTGCTTTAGACCCCTCAAAAACTGAAAGAACTTGAAATCAAGGGGACACCCCCATACCATACCTTGTTGCCAAACACTTCCCTTTTTCTCCAGCATGTTTTATGGCAAATGTAGAGTTTCTGCCTTTTTCTTTTCCTATCATGGGTTCTTTGATTCAGCTGATAGTATTTCCCCCAAACCCAGAATGGATGAGAAATCACTGGGAATTTACATATAATTATCATACATTTCACGCACCCATATTATAAGGCTCAAAGTTACAAGGAGGAATAGTATGTGTTTGTCATCTTGCTTTTTTGTTAGTATTTTTTATTAAGTTAAAATCAAGTGTTATTTTTCGGAGAAAAATACTGGCACAATTTGAAGTCAGACATTATTTCTAACCAAATTATATTCTTTTGTCTGCCAAGATATCTTGACAATTTTAATATCTGAAGGCATTCCTATTTGGTAATCCCAGCAGTATTCTGGGGATAAGATTTTAGATGGTTTGTTGACAAGGAAATACTTATTTAGATGGCTTTCATCATGCCAATTAGCTTCTATGTCATTTTTCTTGTCCTGGAGGATTCCCTTAAAGCACTCCTGAGTGATATTGAGAACCTGAATGGGTGTTCCTCCAAAAATAGCCGCGTGGTAATAAAAATCCCCCTGGCCGAATGGGATGTATGCTGCGGACTTTTCACGCCTCTCATAGGTAAATTCATTAGGATCTGCCTTGTACCACCAGGCCTGCAGCTGAGCCACTGACTTGCCCAAGGTCTCGAGCCCAAAATTGTCTTGGAAGACCTGGTCCACGTCCATGCAGAAGAGGAAGTCAACCTCATGCTGGATGTGGGTCAAAATGTGCTCCCCGATGATCTTCATGCGCATCATACTGATGTCCTGCCACCTCTTCTCAGGCTTGATCTCAAACACTTCAAAGGAACGCAGAGGACCCAGCTCTAACAGAGGCATCCTGGAGACATTATTCACCATGATGTAAAATATGACTCTGTGGCCAACCATGAAGTACCTGTCAGCAGAGGCTATGAACTCCTCTAAGTAATACTCAAGGTACCTGAAACGAAGAAGAAAGGAAACACTGAACTTCTGGGATTCCTGAAGGAGACCCCACGCTATTGTAATCATGCTGTCTGTATTTTAGAGGAAGGAGGGGAATGATTTCTTCTTACCCCAGATGTGCGTTTTCATGTGCAGGGAGACCTGTTAGTTAGTGCAACACTCTGGGCTTCAGTTCACCGCTCAGTCCCTCATTTGTGGTGGAGGAGGAATGACTTATGACTGCTAATTTGGAACAGTAGCTGGGCGTGCACAGCCCTGTCCCTCCTCTCCTCTTGCTCCTGGATACCAGCAAATCAACTGCTCTGGGCCTTGCAGGACGCTTAGAGGTACAAGCGCTGTTCCCACATCCAAAGCCCTATAGTTCTATTGCGGTAAGTGCCTGGGTGCCTAAGTCTTTCCAATTCTGTTGTTCAGTATTTAGGGGGCCCAGCACCCACAGATATAAGCCACATTCCCTATTAGCTTTAACTGTAATGAAGTTGACATTTATTACCATCTTCCTTACTTGCCCCTTTGTTTTATTTATGGATTGGTTCAGACTTTGGCCAGTCAAAGAGGGTACTAGTTCTTGAGCCTCCTTCAAAAACCCCAACATATCCCTACTGTTGTTACCACTGGGCCAGACATAAGAGTGATGTGTGACCCTTGGGTCCACCAGGGATGCATTCAGCCCAAACAGCAACGTTCTCTTATCCTCCTCTGTGATATGGAGAAAGGGTTACGGGACACAGCTTCCCTTTCAAGTGACACAATCACCCTGTGAGCCTCCCAATAGTTACCCAAAATACCAATCCATTATTTACACACCATCATTATAAAATCCAGGCAAATCCTGCAGTAAACAACCTTTGATTTAACCTTATTTGAACAATATTTTGTCTTACAAAAAGACATTTTTAAAAGAAATTTGAGGTTCTAGCAAAATTGAGCCATAAGTATAGAGAATAAAAATAAAAATAAATCACATGGCTTAATACAACTCATCCACACTAAAACTCAGGTGCAGTGAATATGGACTAAATTAATTATTGACCACACTACCGGTCAATCATGATGTTTTGTAACTTCTTCTCCCACTCTTGCATTTCCCACCATCGATAATCCTGAACCCGAGTGGTACGTTGGTTACAGCTGATGAACCTACACTGATATGTCACTATTGGCCAAAGTCCATTTTTTACATCAGGGTTCGCTCTTGGTGTTGTACATTCTCTGGGTTTCGATGAATGTGTAATGGCATAAATCCAGCATTATAGTATCATACAGAATAGTGTCCGTGTCCTAAAACCCTCTGTGCTCTGCTTATTCATCCTTCCTTCCCTCACAACCCCTCACAGCCACGGATCTTTTCCAGCCTCTGCATTTTCCAGAATGACACAGAGTGAGAATCATACAGTGTGCCGCACTTTCAGTCTGGCCTCTTGCACGTAGTAACAGGCATTTGAGACTTCTCCGTGTCTTTTCATGGCTTGGTAGCTCATTTGTTCCTAGCACTGCATACTATTCCATTGTACCACAGTTTATTTTTTCATTTACCTGTTGAAGGACATCTTGGCAATTAAGCGTTGGCAATGATGAATAACACTTCTATAAACATCGAAGTACAGATTTTTGTGTGGACCTAAGTTTTTAACTTAATTTAACCAAGGGGCATGGTCGCTGGGTCAAATGGTAAGAATATGTTTAGTTTTGTAAGAAACTGCCCAATTGTCTTGCAGAATGGCTGTTACCATTGTGCCTGCCCACCAGCAATGGATGAGAGTTCCTGTTGCTCCATATTCTTGTCAGCATTTGCTGTTGTCAGTGTTCAGAATCTTAGCCGTTCTAATAGGTGCATAGTAGTATTTTAACTATTTATCTATTCGTTTGAAAACCATTATAATGATGTCTTGTGCAAGTCCAAATTACAGACTGTCTTATAAAGCCATGCTATGGAGATTACAGGGAAAAATAAAAAGAAATCACATGGCTTAATACAACTCATCCAAACTAAAACTCAGGTGCAGTGAATATGGACTAAATTAATTATTGACCACACTACTGGTCAATCATGATGTTTTGTAAGAATGACTGGTACTTCTTACCACTTTTTGTTAATGTTTGGATCTCTTTTCTTTGCTACCAAAATAAAATGTGCTTTTAATATTGGCAACTGGAAATCCAGTGTTTACAGTAATGATTCTTTAAAAGGAGGGAAAATACCTGAACAATACGAATTTGTTATGGCTGTGGCTGATAATAATACTCTGGAGCTTTAAGAAAAGCCTATTGTGCTCTGAATCTTGGAACATAATACTGGGGGGTGGGGGTGGGGGCAGAGGAGCGTCATTGTGAGGTTTAACATTGTTCAGAGATTAAAGCACAGTAGTTGGCTCCATGCATTGTTGCTTGAAAACAACCCAGACATCACACCTCCTAAAGTCCAAATTCACTTGTAGAGATTTATTGCTGCTGAGTACAAACAGTCCTCTCTGGCCTCAGAGCTGAGAGCACAGAGCTTTCACCAGGATGTCCAATTTATAGTTTAGTTCTGCAGAGCTGCAGTTGGATGGCTGGAGCCATTGTGGGCAGTGGGCAACATCCTGTTCTTTTTGGAAACACCAGGATCAAATCAATCTGCAACGTGGCTGGCTTATCCCCTTTTGTACCAAAGGATTATGTGAGCCGAGCATTGGCTCCCAACCCATACAGTGCAGATTCTTCTAGTAAAAAAATGTAAAAACTCCACTGTTACCCTTCTCTATTAGAGATGCCACGGAGGCCCCTGGGATCAGCACATTTAGGAACACGAGTGGTATTGCTAACGACAGCATCAGTGATGACTCCTGGGCTCTGGGCTGGGGCAGGGTATCTTTGGAGACTATCAGATCTTCGCAGAGCTCTCTTGTAGGTCCTACCTTGACAAAGCCCAAGCTCAACTCTCTTTGTATAAGGCAAAGGAATCAACTTTCCACGAGGCTTTTTCAAAAGAGATACAAGTGGAAAGGCCCAGAAGACAGGACAAAACCAAAACAAATTTTCTGTTTTGTTTTTGGGAAAAACAAACTGGAAAACTTTCCATAAAAGCAAAAAATGGGTTCTATTTAACAACTAATATTACATGGAGGACTTTCAAATAAGAATGACTGCAGTGGTTTTCTTCCATCAAATGCTCTGAAAAAGGAGATGGAAACCCAAACTAGAAACCTACGCAACCTTTGGAAGAGGAAGTCCTGACCAGCTAAATCTTCCAGGGCCTAATCCTCCAGAAGCACGAGGTAGAAATGACCCGAAGAATCCATGGAAGATTGCGCATCTGTGTTCCAACGTGGAAAATCACTGTGCTTAGGTCACTTTGTACTAGGTACATAAATCTTGCAGTAAATCCCTTTGTCCTTGGGCCAGGGCCTTGAGAGTGTAGCAGAAAGAATGATGCCCCCTGGAGTGTCTAGTAGTTGGCACTTGTGGAATTTCCAAAGGGAGCCATGGAGGTCAGAAGCCGGTGGTTGTGGGTTTCCTGCTGACTCTGGCCTCTGGGTGTAGTGGGGATCTTTGCCTGCAGTGCAAGACCATCACTTTGAGGCAGGAATGGCTCCCCTCACCTACTATTGTTTTGCTCCCAGGCTTTTGGGGCCTCAGTAGAAAGGAGACCGAAATGATCCCTCTTAAACAGTAGCCTATCTAATAACTCAGATAAGTCATGCACAGCCTCCCCGAGTCCAGGGGTTCCCTCACAAACATTTTGCAGTGGAACAGAAAAATGTCAACGACCGTTTTATCAGTGACACCTACTTTCCGATTGCAAAAACCGTCAACCCCACGGTAATTTTCTGCTTGGCATAATAATTTTCTAAGAAAGCACTGTTGTAAGTGCCTTCCCACACAACCGGTGCCTTCCAGCTGGTCACTGTCACCACCTCCGGGCGTTTCCTGGTGATAAAACATAGAGCCCCCTGTTAGAACAGCTTTGTTAAGGCAGGGCAGAGATTGTCCAAGGATAAACAGGTCAGCTGTGATCTATAATCACCGTCCTAGAATCCTAACTGTAGCTTAACCCCACGCCCTTGGCTGGGAGATGGGCATTTTCAGGTGTAGGATCTTCTGGGTGAGGGACAGGAGGCTTCTGTGCTGGTGCCTCTGAGGGCTGTCTTGAGGGACCCTGATGGAGTGTTTTTGTTTTTTTTTAAATTATGCAGTCTTGCTCTGTTGCCTGGGCTAGAGTGCAGTGATATCATCATCGCTCATCACAACCTGAAACTTCTGTTCAAGTGATCCTCCTGCCTCAGCCTCCCGAGTAGCTGGGACTACAGGTCCATGCCACCATGCCCAGCTAATATATAGATTATATATTATATTTCTTTTTTTAATATACATATTATATTTTTAAAGAGACAGGGTCTCACTATGTTGCTCAAGTGATCCTCCCATCTTGGCCTCCCAAATTGCTGGGATTACAGGTATGAGCCACTGTGCCCAGTCCCTGGGAATCTTACCTATACTCTCATCCCTCTTTTCCTCTCCTCCTGCTTTCTTGGTTCTCCTCCTACTTCTATATCCCTTTCCTTATCTTCCTAGGCCCATCCTAAGCTGCCAGCAGCATCTTTGGGTATTGTATCCCTGTGGGTGCCATCTGAGCCCAAGAAGACTCCTTGATACAAGGGGATGAGAGAGTGATACTAGGCTGAAAGAGAAACATTTTTTTCAATTTTCCTTTTGCCAGAAAGGGATATCTGAATAGGAGCCTGATTGTTGGCCAAAAAGGGCCCCAGGCTAATTGGATTCTGGTGTTACCACCCATTTTACAAACAAGGATAGAAAGGCACTCAGAAGGAAAGGGACCTAATAGAGGCCCAAGAAGGTCAAGGTCAACACAGGGCTGTGGCAAAGACCTTCTCCCCAGAACATGTTGCTCTTTCCTGGAACACAAAAGGGTTGGGGTGGGGGTAGGTTGTCTACACTCAGTGAACTTTAAAGGGACTTGGCCAGGCCAACACAAACACAGGAAGTGACATAAGAACAAGGACACAGCTTAAAACCAACCCTGTGATGTGGTGATTTTCTAGGCAGCTGGAGTGATGGACTCTCAGCTCCAACCCCCATTTGCTCCGGAAGTGGAGACTGGCACATGGTTGTTTAGATCCAAACTCCACTATGGGCCCAGCACCCTGCATGGCGTATCCTTGTATTCCACTGGGGGAGTACCTCACTCAACAGCAAGTGTTAGGCCAGAGTCCTAACCACTGACTTCCTCCTGGCTGTGAAGCTGTGACCCTGGTGAGGCCATGGGGGCGGGGTTATCAGATATCTCAGCCAATGAGAACTTCCCTGGCCCTTCCATAGCTGGCAGAGGGCTAGGTTTTCACAGAACTGCCTCTACTCATCAGCAAAGCTGGGTTTTTCGACAGTGACGCTGATGGGCATGTTTGGATCATCCCCAGCAGGGAAAAGGAGTCTCAAGAAACTCTCCTTATGTCTCTTGTCCCTTGTCACCAAACTCTGCACCCTGTAATTCTTGAGCTGCCTCTGCCCTCCCATCTCTGCCCTGGGGCGCTATTTCTGGCCTGCTTCCTGTGAATCTGTACACATGGAATCAGCTGCAGGTTGGCCCGGATGGCAGAGCAGAGAAACACGCTCAGGCTGGCTGCTCTCAAGGCCTGCCCAATCTTGTCTGGAGTCTCAAGCTCAGACCTGACTCTGCCCCCAGCACTCCAGGTGCGTCTGGTGCATGGAGAATATGGCTGCCATCGGTTTCCTTCCAACACAAAGGAAGCTGCCATCTATGCCAAGCACTGGGTGCACGCTTTCTTGTTTTAGTTCTGCAACAACCCTGAGATGTATTATGTCCACTCTCGAGGCAACAGAACCAAGGCTCAGAGAAGCTCATCCATTAATTTGTCCACACAGCTGGTTGCTGATAATGACAACTGACACACAACGAGCACTTCCTATGGGGCCAGGCACTGTGTGTAGGGCTTACACTCTGAGGAAGGTACTATACTGATTCTTCTTTTTGGCAATGAAGAAACCATAGCACAGAGAGGTTAAGTAATTTGCCTGAGGTCACACAGCTTATAAGGGCTAAAGCTGGGATCTGAACCGAAATAGTCTGACTCTGGAGTATGTGCTCTGAGCTGCTACCTATATTACTCCTATATGGATGCTTACTTGCTATGCTAATAAAGTGAGGGGTCAAAACCCAGGTTTGTCCTGATCTAAAGGTAACAGTATTTCCATTCAACTTAGCTGCTTTGGCATTTTCATCAGTGCAGGCTGAGAAATGATGAGGTCTTTTGTTGCTTTTAGAAGCTTACATGGCATTTTTAATTTTATAAAACCCCCAGCTCTGTTGAATAACAGAATTTCAAACCAAAAATAACCCCATAAATACACCCACACCCAGAGCTAATATTTCAAAAAGCAAAGTTTCTGAGCTTAAATTATCTTACTTTACGTTCTCACCTCATTCACTGCAGTTTTATTTTATTTTATTTATTTATTTTTTATGTGTGTGTGGATTTTGGCTGGGGCTGGGTTTGAACCCACCACCTCCGGCATATGGGGCCGGCGCCCTACTCCTTTGAGCCACGGGCGCCACCTTTCACTGCAGTTTTAGTCTTAGCCTGTCGAGGTTCTTTCATACAGTACAGTAGAACCTCCATAGTTGACCACCTCCTTAAATTGACCTAATTTTCACAGACTGGACACACACCACATGTAGCTGTCAGTACATGTTGGCCAACTCCATATTTTGACCAGTTTGTCACAGTCCCTTGGGTGATCAACTTACAGAGGCTCAACTGTAGTGCTAACCCAGCCCACTTTCCAAGGCTTGCAGCTAAGTATCAGCTGGGCATTTGGTCTACTTACCATGTACCAGAGGCTAACTAAGTACCTGACGTCCACTCTCTCATTGAAACTTCCCAACCCTTCTTTGCAGTGGACGCTGTCATCATCCCCACTTTACAAATATAGCAGGGGGGAGGAAAGAAGAGGGAAATGAAGTCCTTTGTCATTTAATATACACAAAGGGCCAGATTAGGGTCTTCAGTCCTTCCACGAGCCTTTCCCCTAGGTCCCTGCTCTGTACTAGGTTGTCTTGCTAAGTACTGACATGAGAGAAATGACACCCGGTCCTGGCCCTTGGGAATCTCACAGTCCTAACAGGTGGTCAGCCTGCTACACGCTCCTCAACTGCAAGAACACTCAGTCCACATCCTCTAGTCAGGAAACTGCTGTTCAGTTTGGTTACTTGATGGGAAAGATTCCTTCGAGCAGGAAGAAAGCGTAGCAATATTAAAAATTAATGTTTAATTAAAAATTAAAATGTTCTTTTTACCAGCTGTTAATTATTCAATTCCACTGACAGTTCCGACATGTTGGTGCCCCTGGCTAAGAAGCCAGACAATAGCCTGAAAACACAGGTGCAGGGGAGGAGCCGGAGGGAGGGAGAGAGACTGAGACTGAGATAAATTTCCTGGATGAACCTCTGCATCAAGGAGACTTTGTCATGAGAATCCATAAACCCCCCAAAAAGAGGGGTGACAGAGCAGCCCACACATGAACAAAAGCTACTCTTTGACAATGTCAACTGCCAGAGAGGCCCCAGATCACAAAGGTGGGGCTCTAAAAGGAGAAAAAGTTGCCAGGAAAGAACTGCTCAGATGGCTGCCTTCTACACAGAGCAACCAACCACACGACGCCGGCATTCACACTTCCACTAGTATAGGTCAACAGCTTCTGGAAAAATAAAAGGGCCGCCATAACCAAAGCACACACCTCTCTAGGTTATTGACAGCTTTTTAATTTTATGTATTTATTTAAGGGTACACTGTGGTACCCAAGGGCTAGTTAGCGGAAGTGGTAAAGTTCTGTGAGTCATACAGTAGGTTAAAAAAAAAAGATGTGAAATTCATACAGCTCATTGCCTGAACTCCTTCTAAGCGGCAGCATGTGTGACTAGGATCCAGGGAAGAGCTGATGGTGACAGGAACAGGGATGGTGGCTGCAGAGTGGAGAGAAGAGGATGATGTGGGAGGGATTTCAGAGGAGGAATTGGCAGAACATAACTAATGAATTAGATTGTAAAGGAGACAGTAGATTAGGTCTCCTGGACTCTGGTTTGAGCCACTTACCAAAATGGGAAATGAGATGAATAAGGATTAGGCATCCAGGCACGGTAGCTCATGCCTGTAATTGCAACACTTTGGGAGGCTGAGGCCGGAGGATCACTTGAGCTTGGGAGTTTGAGACCCTACCTCTAAAAAAAAAAAAAAAGCCAGGCATGAACAAATAATAGCCAGGCATGTACAAAATGGTACATGCCTGTAGTCTCAGCAGCTGACGAGGCTGAGGTGGGAGGATCACTTCAGCCCAGGAGTTTGAGGCTGCAGTGAGCCATGATTGTGACACTACCTGCCAGCATGGTGACAAAGACAAAGACTCCGTCTCTATAAAAAAGAATAAGGGTGGGTGGGATTGAGAAATCTACTCGGGTCATGTGAGACATGCAGAGATGTTAGATGCGCAGGCAGAGCCAAGTCAGGGCTCAGAAGAAACATCTGGGCTGAAGATACATCCGTATGAGAATCATTCTCTCACCAGTGGGATGGAAAGTCATGACAGTGGATGAGAGCACTTTGGGAAACTGGTGTAAAAAAGAAAAGAGAAGAGGCTGCTGGACTTACCACCCAGAAACTCTAATCCCTGATGGCTGGAAAGAGGGAGCTACCTCTTGCAAGGAGACTGAGAAAGAGAATGGAGAAGTAGGAGAAAAATGAGGATGTGCCGTGATGGAAAGGAAGAGCTCTCGCTGTGGAAGATCGCTTCATCTGTGAACAGTATAGTGTCATAACATGTGTACACAATATACTGCCATGTGTTAGGTAGTTTGTAGAAAATATATTTTATTTGTTCATTTCCTCCAATCATTCATTTCTGCAAGAAATAGACTTTGGTGCCCTGAGAAGACTTAAATGTGGTGCTGCTTCAAACCAATATTCTTTAAAAATCTGCTCACCGTTCATTTGGAGGTGATGCCATGCAGGGGGAAGGGTGAAGAGAGCGAGAGCTGACAGCCATAGTCTGTCCCTCTTCACCTCCAGTAATTCATCCCTGGCCCTGCCTTCCAAGCCCCACTTAGCAAAGCACAAGTGTCACAGTAAAACTGCCTCACTCTCCTGAGGAGGGCACTAGGTGATCATCTCCGGCTCATCTAGTCTGCCCCTTGGGGGATCTCATTTCCCCATCTAAGGGGCTTATCAAAGCAACAGTGCTTCCCCCTTACTTTTCTGGTAGTGGTTTAGAGATGCCTACTCGATTGTCTATGAGCTCAAAGAATGACAAATGGGAGGCCAAAATTCCCCTCCTTCCACACTGTTATGGATCTCCTATCCCAAAACAAGAAGAGAACTTGCCAGGACATATTCAACCTTTCCAAAGCCCAAGACACCTTAAGCTGGAAAAGATACCATTCTCTCCTTATCCTCCTTCTAACCCTGAATACTCTTCCTGCATCTTTTGAGACTAGCTCCTAAATGCTTCTGTCAGATAGTTCTACCCTGGGTGTCCTCACCCAGGTCCACACATCCTGGGGCTATCTATACTCTGATAAGTCTCATTCCACACTTCCAACATATACCTCTGCTATGCTCATGGGCACCCTATGACACTCTGTCCAGATGACCCATAGGCACCTGAATCCATACACGTGTTCTTCACCTTCTCTAACTAACTCTGAGGTCTGTGTCTGTACCTCAAGTCCCTTTCCTGATTACAGTCTCTCAGGCCTCATGGTCAGCCTGGACAGCTCCCATCTCCTCACTCCCCAACCATATCCTTCCAGTTCCCTGGCTCATTCACGCCTCCTTAACAATCTTGGCAAAAATTAGTTTTACATCGACTGCCCTTATAAGATTGTGAGCTTCCTAAATAAAACCACGTTGATTAACGTCTTCTGTGCCTAACAGTGCTTTTGACCATAATTCGTAGTGAGAAATACATTTTCTATCACAACCAAATTATAAGCCTATACACCAATACACGAAACAAAAATTCCACTAAACAATACTTACTCTCACTGCATGGGATGCCCTGTGATAGTCTATTCTATGTCAATGTTTTTTAAAAAGCTTGTTTCAATCCCTTAAGCTAGTTTCTGAACACATGAATGGCTGGTGACTTGCAGTCTGAGAAACAGAAGCTAATACATCATAAGTTTCGATAAACATTTGTTGTATACAGTACACTTGCTTAACGAATGAAGCATGGCCTCGTGAGAGTTTAATTATCACTCTCATTTTATAGTTGCATTAACTGAACCTCAGGGAGAATTTTTTTTGCTGCGAGTCCAGATCCTTTCTACAATACTCTGTAGCCCATTTAGATCTCTTCTTGCCCCAATATTTTGTGATTCATCTCCTACCATTGGCCAAGTGCTGTCAGAATCTGTGTTGCCTGATCTATTTGATTCCAAATAGCCAGATGTCAGTTTCTTATCCAAAGTCTATTGTTAAAGGTCTAATGTACTAAAACTCCTGCTCCCAAATCAGGTTATGTTCTACGGCCCTTGGGCCACATGCAGCCCGCCTAGGACATTTATCCGGCACGCCTGGTGTTTTTGCCGCCGCTGCCTGCCCTGCTTAGCAGCTAACTTGTCCCAGGGCCCACAGTCTGGCCCTCCAACGGTCTGAGGGACAGTGCACTGGCCCCCTGTTTAAAAAGTTTGAGGACCCCTGGTCTATACTGCCTCTGCCACCTCCCGCTAAGTGACAGATTTACTGCACAGGGAGCCACAGGCTTTTCTTACTCAGGAGTAAACCAGTCCCATAGCTGAAGCTCTTCTTTGTCGTCCTTCTTTCTTCGTTCCTTCTCGCTTCCTTTTTCTTTGTCTATATCTTCTTCCTCTTCTTGGTAAATGTGGGTCCTAGTACAAAGAGAAAGCCAGCTGGGTAAGACAAGGAAGGTGGTCTCTGGTGGTGAAGAGCTCATGAAAGGTGTTCTGAGGACGATCACGCACACATGCACCAAGTCACTGGCTGGAGACGAGCTCCAGACACTATATGTTATTCATAAAGGCACACTTGATAAAAAGCTACAGAGGCCACCTCTCTTGTCACCCTTCCAAGCTGGTTCATTTAGTGATTTCATGACTCAGTATTGTTTAGGTTATTTCAGGGGCTGGGGGAGACTTGATACCATGTTAGTTTATGATTGTCTTTCTTACAATCTAAACTTCAGCTCAAGCCTCAAATTTCAAGTTAACTGGAAAACAAAACAGAACTTAAATATCCTACTGCCATCCACAAAACAGATTTGTATATGATTTCAATAAGCAAGAAAGACGAGTGACTGGGAACATGGAACTACTTTATGAGGACTCTCCGCGAGTGTTGGGTAGGAGGCAAACACAGACTGCTGTCCAATTACCCATTATTAAACCAGCTTGGAAACCACCAGCCCATCGGAGCTCTGCCGTCACCAACTTCAGGGTTCCTAAGAAATGAAAAGATCACAAACATTTTTAGAAAATGAGGCAATCTTCGAACTCTTTTAGAGATCATTTAAAACTGCCAATTCATAAAACAGAAATGAAAAAAATCACATTTTTAGAAAATGAGGCAATCTTCAAACTCTTTTAGAGATCATTTAAAACAAAAACAAAATTTAAAACTGCCAATTCATAAAACAGAAGTGAAGTACTGTAGCCGAAAGGACAGAGCTGAAGCTCCTTGCCTCCCCTCCCTCAGGCAGCCACTGGACCAAAGCTCATACTGGAGTCTGAGCAGGGGGAGTAGGGGGAAAGACGGTAAGAGAGGTGGCCGAAATCTGACTCCTGGATCTGCCACTTACTAGTTGTGTGACAGTGATAGGACATTTTCCCTGTCTGGATTTTCACTTTATCCTCTGAAAAATATAGCTAATCATAGTAAACCTACCATGAAGGTACCTTTGAAGACCGAATGAAACAGTATACCTAAAAGAGTTTTGTTATTTGGAAATGACTATACGTTAGAGTCTTAATGAAAAACCAGTGCACATTTCCAAGAATCATCTCTTTTGCTAAAGTAGCAGAATTCAGGTTGCTAATAAAGGTCAGCCTGAGAAAAAAATCAAGTTGTCCACAGGTCAGCAGTAACAGCCTCAGGAAATCTGAGGGTTACTGAACAAAAAGTTCAGAAAACTGATTCGGAGCAAAATGGTGGCCGAGTAACAACTTCTCTGCAATGGGGCAGGGTGAGGTTGGGGAGAGAAGACTCCAGACACCTCTGGCTTGTGGGCTTTGCCCAGAAACATCCCTTTGGGGATGCAGAAAGTCAGTGAGAGACTTCTAGACACCAGGAGAAGGACAAAAGCAGTGGGGAAGTGGCAAGTGGTTGCACTTGTTTGGTCTGAGGCCGTAGCAGCTGCCATGGCTGTACCTACAACAGCAGCGAAATTGCAGATAGAGAAGGCCTTCTCTGTGGGTTGTTTTATTTTTTGGACTTGGGCACTTGATTGAATTACCTTGGGAGAACTTGGGTGAGATTGCAGGTGACTTTTTTTTTTGCAGGTTTTTTTCCGGCCGGGGCTGGGTTTGAACCCACCACTTACAGCATATGGGGCCGGCACCCTATTCCTTGAGCTACAGGCGCCGCCTTTTTTTTTTTTGACACAGAGTCTCACTATGTCACCCTCAGTAGAGTGCTATGGCATACAGCTCACAGCAACCTCCAACTCTTGGGCTTAAGCAGTTCTCTTGCTTCAGCCTCCCAAGTAGTGGTGGACTACAGGCACCCACCACAATGCCTGGCTATTTTTTGTTGCAATTGTCATTGTTTAAGCAGGCCCAGGCTGAGTTCCAACCCACCAGCCTCAGTGTATGTGGCTGGCACCATAACCACTGAGCTCCAGGCACCAAACCCAAGATTGCAGGTGACTTTAAGCATTGTCCAGGGTCCAAGACTGAACTGCTGGGCTGGAACGGAGCTATCATTGTTTAGCTGTGGGCCATGCACAGCCACTGTGGGAGAGCTGCCCTATAAGCTCTGCCCTCAGGGTCACAGAGTGAGGCCTGGGCTGGAAGACCTTGGGCAAGTGATCTAGTGACTTTGAACAGTGCCAAGAGCTGGGACTGAGAGAGGGCAAGAGTGGAGCTTTCAGTGTTTGGCAGTAGGAGAGCTGCCTTGTAGCCCTCAGGGGCATAGACTGAAGCCGGTTTGGGCACACAGTAAGTGGGCAGCCAATTCAGGAGAGATCCCAGTGACACATGCTTTCCCAGGAAAGCCTCTGTTTAGCCGAGGTTAATGGTTTAAAGTGTCTTTTAAGCAGGTTGAGGAAAGGATCAGGTTCTCAACTCTGTGGGGCTTGAGGGCAAAGAAGTCAGCAGAGGCCTCCAGTCTCCATCTTATACAGCTGTTATATCAGCATTGTGATAAGCATCTCATACCTCAAAAGATCACCTGTTGCCCAGACAATATTCAGCAAGATATAGCTACTGCTTTGTTTTTGGATTTTTTTCCTTTCCTTTTTTTTTTTAATGTCAACTTTCCCCCCCTAGATTTTTCTTTTTTTTTTTAAATTCTTCATTTTTCTAGTGTAAATATAATTTTCCCTTGTTGCCTTCTTTAATAATAAGAACTTCATTTTCGCTAGTGTTTCTGCCCCTGTTATTTGGGTTTTTGTTTTTGCTTTTTTGCAGTTTTTGGCCAGGGCTGGGTTTGAACCCACCACCTCTGACTTATGGGACCAGTGCCTTATTCCTTTGAGCCATAGATGCTGCCCATACGTTATTTGGTTTTTTCTCTCAATTTTATCCTGTAAAGTTTTCTGTTTGTTTGTTTTGGTTTGATTTATAGTATTTTTGTTTTACCTCTCTAGTTGGTGGAGGTGGGATACTGTGTCTTCTCAGGCTGGCAAAGAGCTGTTGACCTCAAGGGACCCACCCAACCCAGCACCCCCAGAGGGTGGGTCAAAGTACCCTACTGTACACCTTTATTACTCCTGTCTCCCTCTTTCTGTGCCTTTCTTCTGTTTGTCAATATTCCCTTTTACTCACCCCCTCTCTTCTCTCTTTTTTCTTTGTTTTAATCCTTTTTCCCTTCTCATCCTTTTAGTTCTATACCAAAAGGACTCATCAAAACCTTAGGTCAGAGGCATGATAACTTAAAGAGCAAGAGGAAGTGAAGGGAAAATTAGGACAAGGAAACAGATAAAAGAAAACACCCATGAAGAAGAAACAGCAGAAAAATTCTGGCAACACGAAAAACCAGTCCAGAGCAACTCCCCCATGGGACCATGAGGTAATTACTGCAGAGGATTCCACCTACAAAGAAATGTTAGAAATGACAGAAGGGGAATTTAAAATACAGGTGATGAAAACAATGAAGGAAATTGCTGAGAAAGTGGAAAATAACCAAAAGGAATCCAAAAACAGAATAAGAGATGAATGATATGAAGAATATGGAAAGGATGTAGCAGAGCTGAAGGAATTGAAGCAGTCAATTAGGGAACTTAAAGATGCAATAGAAAGTATCAATAACAGATTAGACCATGCAGAAGAAAGAATCTCAGAGTTAGAGGACAAAGCTCTTGAGATAACTCAGATAGTTAAAGAGGCAGAAAAAAAGAGAGAGAAAGCAGAACGTTCACTGACAGAATTATGGGACTTCAAACATACAAGTTATAGGTATCCCAGAAGGAGAGAAGAATGCCCCAGAGGAATGGAAGCCATACTAGAGAATACTATAAATGAAAACTTCCCAAATATCACCAAAGATTCTGACACACTCCTTTCAGAAGGATATTGGACCCTAGGTCACCTCAACTCAAATAGAGCTTCTCTAAGACCTATTGTGATGAATCTGAACAAAGTCAAGACAAAGGAAAAGATTCTGCAAGCTGCCAGGAGTAAGCACCAATTGATCTACAGGGGGCAAATCCATCAGAGTGACTGCAGACTTCTCTAATGAAACTTTCCAAGCCAGAAGACAATGGTCACCTACCTTTAATCTACTTAAGCAAAACAATTTCCAGCCCAGAATTCTATATCCTGCTAAGCTAAGCTTTAAAATTGACAGAGAAATCAAATCTTTTACTGCTATACAAACATTGAGGAAATTTGCCACAACAAGACCAGTTCTACAGGAAATACTTCAACCTGTTCTATGCACTGACCATCACAATGGACCACCAGCAAAGTAAGCACCCAGAAATTAAAGGATAGAGCCTAGCTTCCACAATGATGCAAAAGATAAAACTAAGCAACGGACTTTCACAAAATAAGATGAACAGAACACTACCACACTTAGCAATTATCTCAATAAATGTTAATGGCTTGAATTCCCCACTGAAGAGGCATAGAGTGGCTGATTGGATTAAAAAACACAAGCCATCCATTTGCTATCTGCAGGAAACACACCTAGTCTCAAAAGACAAATTAAAACTCAGTTGAGAATTGGAAGACAATTTTTCAGGCAAACAATTCAGAAGAAAAGAGGGCTTGCAATCTTATTTTCAGATACAAGTGGATTTAAAGCAACTAAACTCAAAAATACAAAGATGGACACTTCCATACTGGTCAAGGGAAAAATACAACAAGAAGACATTTCAATTCTAAATATTTATGCACCCAACTTAAATGCTCCCAGATTCTTGAAACAGATCTTAATTAGTCTGAGCAATATGATAACCCATAATACCATAATAATAAGGGATTTTAACACTCCTCTTATAGAGCTGGACAGATCCTTTAAACAGAAATTAAACAAAGATATAAGGAACTTAAATGAGACTCTAGAAAAACTGTGCTTGATAGACATATATAGAACATTACATCCCAAAGCTAAAGAATATACATTCTTCTCATCATTCCATGGAACATTCTCCAAAATTGATCATACCCTAGGACACAAAACGAACCTCACCAGAATCAAAAGAATTGAAATTTTACCTTATATCTTCTCAGACCACAAGGCATTAAAAGTGAAACTCCAACTCCAACAAAAACATTCAACCCCACACAAAGGCATGGAAATTAAACAACCTTATGCTGAATGACAGTTGGGTGCAGGAAAAAATAAAAGAAGAAATTCTTAACTTCCTTGAACAAAATAACAATGAACAGCTACCAAAACCTGTGTGAAACAGCAAAAGCAGCCCTGAGAGAAAAATTTATCATTTTGGATGCCTACATCCAAAAAACAGAAAGAGAGTGCATCAACAAACTCACAAGCCATCTTTTGGACATTTCTTAAACTGATTGAAGCTATCTATGACAAACTCACAGCTAATATTTTAAATATTTTACCAAATGGGCTTAGCGCCTGTGGCTCAAGTGGCTAAGGCACCAGCCACATACACCTAAGGTGGCGGGTTTGAATCCAGCCTGGGCCCGCCAAACAACAAT